AAAAATCAGACTCGAAACTTTCAAAATGTTCCTAATTCTCCTTGGGAAATAAAAAAAGCAATAAAAAAGGGCAAATGGTTAAATGAGAAATTTCTCCTTTTTTGTTAAGTTTCATGTCTATTCACTTTTACCTTTACAGTTATTTAATAATAAAAATTTTACAGATTCACTCAAGAAAAGATGAATGAAAACAATAAGAATTTTCAGAATAAAAGGTGAGCTTTAATTGATTGATTTCATTAAAAGATTCAAAAATGTTTAGATGTTTTTCCGTGATCCTTATTCTATTTCATCTTTTTATTCTTTCACTTCTTATCATAATTTTCTTTTTTGATTGGAAATGTGGAGTGATCGCTTCAATTTCAACTCTTCTACTTATTTTCTTTAATCGTTTCACTCAACCAAAGAGCAAGTTCCTTTTTTGAGAAACTTTAATCACTAAAAAGCTACAGAAAAAGAGGAACCGTGTAAAACTGTGAAAAAAATGAGTGAAAATTTGATATTTGAGCAAGCATTGAATTTGATTATTGGGAGTGATTATCACAGTTATCGACCACAGGTTTGATTCGTTGATTTGAAAGATTCTAATTGATCTTTTTTTTTATTAGATATTAGTGTTGACAGGAAATCCCGCAGCTCGGGCATGTTTAGTGGATTTTGCATGGAATCTCACAAAAGGGAAATCTCTTCTTCTTTGCGGCTATATTTTACAAGTGAATTCAAAATATATTCATATTTTCATTTTGATTAAGGAACCAGCAACCGAGCGAATCTTTGCTAAAGAAGAAAGGATTGATCGACATTTTAAAGTAAAGTCAAAAGTTCAAAAATGAATATAAAACGATATCGTTTAGAAATGGATGCAAAAAAGGAATATTCAAGGAGAATTGGTGACAGTTGCAAGTGGATCTGTTGCTCAAGGAACATCCATATTCATGCAGGTAACAAAAAAAATAAAAGCAATATTTATTTTTATTAAATAGATCACTTTTTTTTCATGAATTTAGACTGTTGGCCTAGGACTTCTGAAGCCAAATGTTTTAATGATGGGTTTCAAAACGAATTGGATTCGTGTTGCCGCCGAAAACATGAAAATCATTGTCGATTACTATCAAACAATTGAGTGATTTCACTTTTTTTAAAATGCAAACAAAATGAGAAAACATTTCAGAGTTGGCTTTTCGAAAAATGTCTCTCTAGTGATCTTTCGAAATTCAGATACAGGACTCGATTTTAGTGAAAGCATGAAAAAGTATAAGGTAAAAAAAAAGTGGGGAAATGAATGGCAAAATAAAATAGATAAATATTTAGATAGCAGAAGTTGACTTGGATGTGGAAAATATTGCAAAAGAAAGCGATGAAAATAAAGAGAAAAAAGAAAAGACAAATGATGATGCGATGAATGATAGGTGAGAGGAAATGCGTAGAAAATTGGAATTTATTATATTACATAGTAGATATTATATCAAGTTTACCGATAGGTAATAGTGCATTTCGTAATTTGATCATTAAATCTACTCATTTCAGCCCTCCAGTCTCAGAAGAAGAGGAAAATATTTCGAGAGCAAGTCACCGTCGGTTTTTCATAATCTCTTAGGACTTTATTCCATTCAATTGACCCATTTTTTTTAGAATCTCGCAAATTCATGAGCTCTCTGCAAAATGCAATGTCGAAAAGGAAAGTACACTCGCTTTCGAATGATATTGAGAATAAACCACAGGTGAGCTCTTACAAATCTCAAAAAAAGAACATATTTAGACGAGTACAACGCCTGTAAAATTCAACCGAAGTCAATCCGTTGAAACTCGCTTTAAATTCAGGTATTTCTGTCTAATAGTAAGAATCATTTACATTAATCGAGCATTTACGTACAACTCCAAATGTTTTCAGTGTTCAAGATGCCGAACAACAACAATTACTGGTTTCACTCTCAAAATTTCACACACCGGTAGGGGAAAATGAAAAGCCAATTACAAAGATAGCACTGATAGAATTCTATTTTTAAATATTTGACAATATTTAAAACAATTTGGTACAATTTGACTAAAACAATCTATACTGTGTCTGTGCACAAAAATTGCCTATTAGAATACATGCTTGGCCACGAGTTTTACCCCGATTTTTGTTAAGAATATTAAACATCTCCGTTCTAATGATTAGTTTGCAGGTAAAAAATGGCCGAGTTGATGTTTGGTGGATGCATGATAATGGTGGCTTTGCTCTTCTTTTACCCTCACTTCTCACACAAATCGGAAGCTATCTACAGGTGAAGGAATTGGCAAGAAAAAGTAGCGGATAGAACTGGAGAGCGGATAGAACTGGAGAGCGGATAGAACCCTCGACCTTTTGCTTTCCGAGCTATTGCTCTAACCACTGAGCTATCCGGTACCTTAACTTGCCAAGAGAAAGAAGGAAAGATAAAGGGAAGAAGAAAGGGAGAAAGAAAGTATAAGATTATTTATAGAAGTTTCAGAGTAGAAGTTTCAAAAAATTAAAGATACTATAAAGTCTCAATATTCTGTTTGATTGTCAAGATCGCGACAAGACTGAATAAATCTAGCTTTAAGCCGGTTGGATAATTTTCTTATATTTCGGTATACTGTAATGCGAAAAGAAATGCACATGGGAATATCTTAAAATCTGATCTCTAAAATCTTTAGGGTGCGAACATTCGTGTTTTTGTGCAGGCCACTGAAAATGCAAATGGAATCCAGGTGTTTCTTAAAAGATTATCTCAAAAAAACAAATTCCAGAAAAATCCTCAAGTTCAAGCAAGGATGTCAAAAATGAGAGCTTTCAGTCTTGGCCCTGAAACCCTTCAAATTATCAATTCTTTTGATGCTTTACCTCAAGCGGAAACGTTTAAAATCTTCTTTCATCTTCAAACAAATATCACTTTAGTGAGAGAAAGTTTAAACAAAAACTCGAACGATTCACTTGGAGATCACATGGGAATAAACCAGCAGGTAAAATAAACTTTTAAAAGAAATATTGTAAATCGCTCACAGGTTTCACAACACCAATCGAATTACAATCCGTCTATGATAAGACTGAGAGAATTTTGCGAATCTCTGAGTTGATGCACGAGCATTCACGCGATGCCGATCTGATTGCTGTGTTTGTTTCAATTTAAACAACCATTCTCATCTCAAATTTAAACGAATAAATCTGAAAAAATTTCAGAACATTGCCAAAGACACGAGTCGAAGAAGTTTCCCCATGTGTTTTTCTTTCTTGGCTTGATATTCTTTCTGAAGGTCTTCCACCAGTTTTAATGGTCAAAGGAAACAACGATCCCGCTTACACATATTTCAATCAACCATAAATAATTTGATGTTTGTAAGAAGTAAAATTTCCTTTGTTATTACCAAGAAATCTAAACTTCACAAACAAATTTTTTATCAAATTTTACCGACAAACAAACAAAGAAACTTCACAAAGAAAATGTTCTATTAATACTAATAAAATACTAACTGTAAATAATAACCAGAATTTAAAACAAGTTTGATCAACACACAACTTATAGTTTTTACTTTTCAAGATATCATTCGCTACTAGGCTAGATGATCATTGATATTTTATGTCATTGGTGATGATGAGATTGCCTTGTGGGTGGTCATGAAAAGCTTCCGCTTACGCTTGTCGTCAATCGAATGAGATGTAAGAAGAAAGAGAGAGAAGCTGTCATGATGAAAGAACGAGAAAAGAAAAAAAAAGAAGATTGATGCCGTTTGGATGGATGGATTACACGGTGATCGACTCCAATCATTCCCCTCAAACATCTCCGTATAAAGACTTAAAAAACTCCGCCCACTTCTGGATTATCCACGCCGTATAGTTCAATCAAACGAGCATCATTTTCTTTTTCGAATCAGTCAAATTTCATTCGATATAGCGTTTTTTATCATATACAGGATGGCGCACAATTATGGAAACTCGGTTTTTCGACTGTAACTCGACGCCCAATTATTCAATTCCCCTAATTTCATATTTATATGAAATTTCAAGTTAATTTCTGTGGTCAATTTCAATTTTTAGTTCAGAAACACAGTGTTACGCTTTTTATAGTACTTCGAAGTTCAGAGTTGCCAACCTCTCTCGGCAGAATCGTTGTTTGACCGCATATTTTGAAGAATTTCCCGCCTCGTATTTGCTTTTTTTTCTTGTTCTTGATTTCTCATTTCTTGCTTTTTACTAAGAAATAGAATTATCTAGAGCATTTCACATCAGAAGATTTTCAAAATTTTGAGATCTAATGGTTGAATTCCCTGAACGCTGAGCAGAGCAACGATCTTTATGGTAACTCTGTAAATCATTCCTGATTTCCTGTCTTGCTGTTGATGCATTTATTTTGTAATATTTGTCTAAATTTAACTAAGAAGTAAAAAAAAAATTAATTGGTTGAGAGTTGAAAACTGTCAAAAACGATGATTCTGCCGAGACTCTAATTTCTGTTTTGTTAAACTTAAAAATATTGTAAAATCCCGACCAAGTACAGTATTCAACGAACAAAATAGAGTGCTTTTCAAATTTTCAATACTTTTTGGGTAATGAGATTGAGTTTTAAACTTTTTGAGAGCCTAGAAGACTTTTGAGCTTTTGAGAAATATAAGGGATAAAACGGGGTATTGCAAAAAGAGGCTTTGGGATATTTGCGTGGATTGTGGCGAGACTGTATCGAGACGCATGTCATCTCCCCTTCCCACCCCGTTTCACCCAATCCCACCCCATTCCATTCCATCCTCTTTCCTTTTCTATTCGTTTTGTTTTCCCAATTCCCTTCGTTCCCAATTCACACTTTTCGTCCTCACTTCCATTGTCTTCATTTTTCGCTTCCCAATTATATTCATCAACGATTGCAGAAAAAAAGTCAATTTAGTCGATGAACGTGCGGTTTATTCTACTGTTTTTGGTTGTTGTTATTTGTAGTGCACGTAAAAAAACTGAAGAAAAATTACAAAACGGAATCAATGTCGTGATTCCGAACAAATCACTTACAATGCAGAATACCTCTACCACCGGAAAAACATCGGGAGTTAAAAAGATGGTATAGTGTTTACAAATCACTTTGCCATGTTTTCTTCAAATTTAGAAAGGTAGGAAACAATCATCAAAGCGAAAAGTGGTAGCTGAGGATCAAGTCAACAAAGATGAGCTAAAGAAGAAAGGAAAAGGTGAGAAAAATTGTTGATTTTTTGGGAGGAAATACTGTTTCATCATTGTTGACCCTTTCTATCGAAGCCATTCCCTTGAGGTGCTCGTTGAATGAAATTAATTACCCATGAAAGTATGATAAAAGTGATGAATGATGATGGGCGTTTGGGTGCATCTTGTTTGCATGTATGCACCCCGAACCCATTTCAGACTTCGCACTCCGTATTCCAGTCACTTACAATCAAGGAGCTATCATCGCTTTCCCAGCTGTTTCCAAGATTTCTTCCGGGAAACAGTTTGGCACTTCGAAAAGGGCAGATCTTTCTCCAAAGGTATTTTACTAAAAAAATTAAGTAATGAAGTTTATCAGAGCGTAAAAGAGAAAAAGCTTTCAAATTTTAGGATTTCAATGAGTATCAGAGTGGAATGAACGAGGAATACAAGCGATTGGTTTACTCATTAAATAATGGACGTGCACGAAATGGAATTGGTGGTGAACGTTCAACTCCGTCGAATGGATATGGAACACAACAATCGGGAAGTCCTTATGAAAAGTGAGTCTTTAGAAAAGGAATCGAATCGAATAGAATAGAATAGAAAACGAAATTGAATAATATTAGCAAATGAAAGAATTTAGTGGATATCTTGGTGTTCCTGATGCTGAACCAGGAAATTACAAAGGAGCTATGACAAAGAGTGAAAAAGTATCAGCCAGATAGACGAACATTTGGAAGTTATGGTAAGACTTCATGACGAGATCACAAACAAATCATTCATTTTTAGTATCGATTTATTTTTACCTTTTCTATTTAGGCTCTATCGATTCACCGAAATCGTCGGCACGAGGAGGTTCATCAACTGGAAAGAGAAGCATGGGTCAGTGAATAAAAGACAACAATATTGCATGCATTTCAACAATATCTTTTCAGGAAGTGGTTACTATAATTCGGCGACGAACATTTACCAACCAACAGTCAATTCCATCCCGTCGACAAACAATCAGGAATATTCTGACGGTTGAATGCATAAATACTGTTCTATAACATGTAAATAGGTTATGGTAGTCCGACACAAAATGGCCCTAATGATTATTCGATGGGAATGGAATCTGGAATGGATAATTCGAATCAAGGATATCGTGAAAATGGAATGACTGGATCGGGGAGGAGGTTATGAAGAGAATCAAGGATCCATTCCGAGTGAAGCACTAAACACAAATTCTCGATATATTCCTTCTCCTCCAACCCAAAGGTTTGAAAAAATTATTTGTTTCAAAGATTTCAATTTTTAGTTATGGTTATTCAAATGGCGACTACGGTGTCCCATCAACCCCCAATGGAGACTCTCAAATGCCAACTATGAATTTTGGCTCGTATGCACAGTATTCTCGAATCCCTCAACCACCACAGCAACCATCACATCAATTTGAGACTTACTCATCTTATCCCACCAACCCCACCAACCCCACACCATCCTCTTTTTCCTCCGGTGGCTATGAAACATCTAGCAATAATCAACCACAAACGGGCAACTATGGTCAAACATCTAGCTATTCATCAAACTATCAAATGCCGCAGCCAACACAAAGTTACAGCACTTTCCCTTCTCAAAGCTCTTCACAAAGCGGAAATGGTGATTACTCGAGTTATTCCGGAGATGAATATCGAAATGGTGGAGATGGAAAAGTCATAACCAATCAATATGGAACAGAAAATACAAACAACGCAAATGTCGATTATGGAGCCTATTCTGGCTATAATACAAATGCTTATATGAACTCGGGATCCTACCAAAATAATGGGCAAAATCGGCCTGCTAGTTTCAATTCATGGGGTGAAATGCAAAGCGGAATTCAAAGTGGATCCGAATATCAAACAAATGGAAATGATTATCGCACGCAATACGGATCATCTCAAGGTGGAGAAACTAGAACATATAGCAATAATGAATATAATAATGAAAATAAGAAATCGGTCTATTCATCATATTCGGTGCCTCCTCCAACTTCAGACCCTAATCAATTCACCGGTTCGCAGAATTATGGACCTGGTGGAGGTGGAGGTGAACTGACAAATGGCTATGGATCATCCCAATCATATGGATCTTCATCTAACACTCCAAATGATTATGGAAATTATGGTTCTTCTAACAATTATGCTGGTAGTACAAATAATAATTATGGATCATCAACAAATTATGGTTCTTCTGATAACTACATGAGTGGTACAAGTACCAACTATGGGGCACCAACTAATTACCCAAATGGAAACACTGCTCCAATTGATCAGAACACTTATAGTTCATATGGATCTAGCGATAATTACGGTTCGACATCGGAGCAAAATCCATCAGAATCCTATGGACAAACATATCCACCAACAGAAAATTCCTACAATACTTATTCTGGCTTAGGTGATAATTCAGCCTCAGTAACCGGTGGCTTCTCTAGTTATGGCAGTGAAACAGACGGTTCAGTGAGTTCATCATTAAAGGGTTATCCAAATGATGGTGACTCTGGAAATAGTTACTCGAGTTATTCAAACTATCAACCAGCTCCAAATACTTTCAATTCTTATTCTGGGACAAATGAACAAAATGGTCAAAATGGTTGGGATGGGTCCGCATATCCCAATGAGATTTCAGTGGATATCGATGTCGATTTTGGGAAGCGGGGAAATATTGATGGATCGGATAATGGGATTTATTCACCTGAAACATATTCAAGTTACGGTAGTGGGAATAATGGACATGGTGGAAGTGATACAATTGGTGGATATCATGGAGGATATGATAGAGTCGGATATGGGTCAAGTAAAGCAAAAAACCCGGCAATTAGTGGCACAATGAAAGATTCTAAAGCAGATCAAACGATAGCAACAACAACAACAACACAAAGTGATGCAATTCTTGATGGATATAAGAAAAAACTTACTGTTGCCCATGCTGCTTAAAAGAATCAAAAATCTATCTTTAAAGCGTAGACTCGAAGGAAAGTCATCCCCAAACTCCGTCTACAAAATTGCTGTGATTATAATTTAATTTAATAATTTATTGGGCCGTGGTAATAAATTAGCTTTTATGTAAACCGCACACTAAAAGTTGAAAAAAAAGAAGCTAACACCTTAAGCCTTAAAAGACACCCCTTTACAAATATCGTTCATTTTTTGATTTCGAAATCTAAAATATCTCAACGAAATAAAATGTTTGTTGCACATAGTGTTTTAAGAGACAAAAAAAACATAAATTTCAGAATCCACAAATTCAATTCAAAGATTCTTTATGGTTGCAAATATTCTATGGTTTCGCCCGCCATAGAAAATCACTTAAATTTTGATTAGGCTTGATTTCAAATCAAAAAATTGTTCTTGAGTCGAAACTAATTATCCTTTGGTGATGTGATGTCTCGAGAATTTGTTTTATTGCGCTCAAATATTCTAATGAAATAAAAACAACGATATCAGAAAATAACCAAAAGTTATCCAATCATTTTTCCGCATTGATTCGTTTAGTCCAATCAAACTTCTCCCAAAATTGCTTTATAGTATCGCATCTGAAGAAATCAAATAATGACTTAATTTAATCCAAAGTTATCAATTTTATTACTTTAACTAACAAAAACCTTTTCTTTTGTTCGGTGAACGACATTGGAGTTCGACTTCTCCATGATTTTGGCGGCAAATCGAGAATTCCTCCGATTATTTCCTAAAATAATTAAGTGGTTTTTCAAAAAAAATGGTTACGTGGCCAAAGTTAGTTGGAAAGGCATTTCGATCTTCTATTACGTGAGCGTACCTAAAAAAACTTTTAGACAGTTAATTTACGAAAAGCAAACCCATTCTGAAGCCCAAAATCAACAGCAAAATAATCGAAACCACGAGGAATTTGTCGACGCAAATCTTTTGTCTCAATCAATTTTTTGTTGTCTGCCCATTCGCTTTCACTTTCGTTTATCGCTTTCTAAAATTTTTCTAACTATAAGAGTAAAAGTTTTTGCTACATTTTTCCTTTAAAAGGTCATAAGTAGTTTGCGAACAAAACAAAAACTCACATGAAAATAAATGGGTGCCGATTCGCCAGCCTCGATTGGTATAGGAAAGGCCTCAATGTAACAATGTGGATTACTCTTCACATCATGTGCCGTCTCCAAAAAGATACAGTCTTGATCTTGCTCCTAAAAATTCCATAAATATTTAGTTAAACTTGAGATACCTTCCACATAGCGACAAGCCCTTTGCGCCATATTCTCATTTCATCCCAGACATTTTCGTCAAGTTGAATTGTCGAAGATGCATGCATTGCCGGAAGAATTAGTAGATGTTGATCCGAAAGCCCTTCCCATTCTGCTATGGCCAAGTAAGTCTAAACAAAGTGAGTTAGAATTAGAAACATTAAACAAACATTTATTCCAACAGCAACAATGCAATGTTTTGGTACACGTGAACTTTCAAGACATCGAATACAAGATCCAAGTGTTTGCTCCAGATGCTGGTGTTCTAAACATTTTTAATTTTTACTTGGCTCATTTTTAAAAGAGTTTTCAATAATTTATCCTAAAACTAAAAGCAAAAATGCAACAACTGGTCAAGTGACATCAATTTTTACAGAGTTTGCTCAAAGATAGAACCTGGGCGGGGCCTATTTTGCGACGGAGAGCAATAAGATGGTTGCGAGAGGAATGAAAAATCAGTCACTCTTCTCTACAATGAACGCAGCTATTTTCCTTTCTTTTCTTTTATTAGCAATTGTTTCAATTGTGAATGCAACAACAGAATGGTGGGGTGATCTTCGTGCTCATCTTAATCCTCCAAAGGCACCGGCATTTTACGATGTTACCTATGATGATGGTTAGTTTTAAAAATATCGATAATTGTATGACGAACTGAACACCATTGAATTTAGAATGCCCACAAGGCCTTAAATATGATGCTATCCCCGATTTTGTTTATTTTGGAACCATGATCTCCTCAATGAACGTTGACGGTAAGTTCTCAACCTTTCCAAAAAGCTTCAATTTACGCGTTCTCTTTCAGACAACGAAGAATGCGTTCAAAAGTGCTTGGAAAAACCACGATGCAAAGCAGCCAATTATTTCCAGTCGATCTCTTTCCAAGAACAAGGCTTTTGCGAATTGCTCTCAGAGACCCAGTTGGACAACCCCCAATTAATGCGCCCCTTCATCAAAGCCACTTATTACGAAAATATCAGATGTCGAGATGTGGACGCTATCGAGATTGAGATTGATCAGAGTAAGGCTTGTGATACGATTAAAAAAACGGAAAAAATTTAGAGCCGAGAGCACGACCTACCAAAGAAGAAATCTCGGACATTTTTAAAAAGATTTCGTCGAAAGCGACCGAATTTCGGGCACGTTTCAGAGCCGCTAGAAAATAACGGAACTAAATTTTCTATTGAATTACCGTTATGATCTCTGAGTCACGGGTTGAAACTTTCATTGTTATTTTCATTTTGATATTGTCTTTTCTTTTCTGTGTACATATCTATTTATCCATCAATAGAAAGGATTGGGTGTCATTTTTATTGTACATAAAACCTTTGGAATTTGCAAAAAAGTCAATATCATGTGAAGTCAATTTTGATCGAAAGTCGTTCGCAAGGAAAGAATGGCGCAAAAGGGCGTCAACTAATTAGAGTCGCCCAAAAACACGGTAGAGAAACAGAGAAACGACCGTGAAGCGGTGAGCGAGCACATTCCATAGTAAGAGAGTGGTGGCTCAAAGATGAGAGGAAAATGAGAGAAAAAATGAGCACCAGTCACCGCTCGACCCGATCAAACCTCCACGTCACGCCGTTAATCAAAGACCGCCGCTCGAATATCACACCCAGTATTGAGCGAACCAAGAGAACTAGGATATGGGAAGGGGGAAAATCTCGATGTTTACGAATTCCATCAAATGTTTTCTTTTGCCTGATGATAAAGATACCTACGATCACAAATATGTTTTCAACTTCAACCGTGTTTACTTCAAGGACTAATCAATTATCCCAAAATGGACCACACATTAACCTGAGCGTAAAGGGGAACTTTTTCAAGGTCAAGAAACAAAAATCTCCAGCCTATCCCAAAGTTGAACTGCCCCGAGAAACCAATCGTTTCAAATATCCATTTCAATATTAGAACTATATAAATATAAAAAAAGTAAGTAAACCTCGTCGCTGACGCTGCTTTTCCTTGCGCTCATCACGTTCATCTTCACGCTTGCGTCCTTTCTGCATTTCAGCAATGTCATCGACGCTTTCATCCTCATCATGTCGCTTGATCTTTGAACTTTTCTAAAGCAAACATTTGAAGCTGGCTTTTTAATAGCTAGGTTTACAAATAACTTTTCAACTAGGAATAGCTGGTTTACAAACACAACGAAAACAACGATTCTTGATTGATTTGTTTTCAGCAACTGCAAAAACTTACCACGAGACTTCTTTCGAAGAGTCGAAGCTGTTGTTCGGCAGTCCCAGTCTTCTCTTCTCGTACCATTTCAGAGAGAGATTGATCCTTTTCATATTCCCGTTTCATCCGAGAAGAACCCTAAACAGAATAAATCAACATTGAACAAAATAAGGTTATTAAGCGAGTATCGGGATTTTAAAAACTGAAGAAATTAAAGTACTAAAGTACGGAGTGAAAAACCTTTGCAAATTTGTCTGTTCGCATGTCCACATTTGTTGCAGGTACGATGTTGCCATGCTTGTCTTTCTTGATCAAAAGCTAAAATAAAGCTAGTTTAGTTTATTCGTTCGGTTAAAATGAAACCTTCGTTTGCGTGCGACCCTCGACCTCATCGTTTTCGCCATCCAATTTACGCTTTAGAGATTTCACCAAATCCTAAAATTAACAACTTAAAGTTATTATGTAGTCATTATTTTATGCTCATCAACCTCACATGAATAATTTGACTCTCCCAATATTCTTAGTTTACTTTACGATATAGGTTGCCAAGCATTTTAATAACTTCAATGTGATCGCTCAAGAGTCATACCGAAAAAACCACAACTAGTCTACTTAGATAAAAAACGCATAACATTTAATACAAAAATACCCACCGTGTCTCCTTTCAACTCTGCTTTCAAGATTTTCGCATGAATCTTATTGCGTTGATCTTCTGTCAAAACTGTTGATTGCTGGCTAGTCGATGGGCCACTCTCGATGTTTTGCTGACCATAAAATTCGGCTTGTGATTGATTTGAACCTCGCACGAAATCTCTCCCTAAAATTTGCAAATTACAATGAACAAAGTTTGCCAGTCTAGAAATAGCAACAGATTTTTTATAGCTCCACTAGCGATTGTGCAACTACAAATAGCACTACATTTCAGACGGATTCACAGGCGACTATAAGTCTAACGCGTATGCAAGCATCGAAGGATTGAAATAGGCGCAAAACAAACCTTTTATACCAAGCGCTTTAGCATATTTCGGGTCGAGAGGTTTTGCCCTGACAATCCGCGATTCATTATCATCGTCGTCATCTATTGGCTTGCGGAACATCCTTAAAAAATGACTACTATGAAAAAAACAACGACACTAAAGAAAAGTGAAAAGGCAAACAAAGTTGGATCAGTATCGATATCTAGTACACAAATTTTCGTTTGCACAAATTTATCTAGTACGTCTATTTCTAACTATGATAGTTTCTATTAATTATTGCCTTGTTATAAATGTTGAACTGAATATTTTTAATGACTAGTAGCATGAGAAAAGGCTTATATGCAAATTAACACAAAGCGCAGAGTTTGTCATTTGGAAAAGTTTTTGTTCAATGTTTCATTTCAAAATATGTTATGATAAAGTGAAATTGAGGAAGTTGAGTGCCACCTCTAGCACGAAAATCAAAATGGGTGAGTGAAAACAACGGACAGTGCCAAAATACGGCCTAGATTTCTTACGATTTTGACTGGCATAGGTATTCTCTTCCCTTCTTCACTCTAATACAGTGTTGGCTATCTTTAAATATTTACTTGTTATCTATTCCTTTTTTTTGTCTGTTTCAGCTTGTTTCTTTGTTAATCGGCCTTTCTTTAATTACTTTTTTTCAGAAATGGAAGACTGGGGCTGTGTGACCGAAGACATCTTTGGTGGAATGCCGAGCTCGTCCGGTCGACTCGATGACATTGTTGATGCTCTTCATCACAATAACCATGATTTTACGCAAATAGGAATTGCTTCTTTAAGGGATATAAATCAGCCTATCGCAGGTAAGGTTGAAATTATTCTACTGGCAATTACTGTTTGTTTTTCGGATGATAGCGTCGAAATTCATCGATGTGATAATATGAGTGCGAGTAGAAGCGTCGCACCAAAGATATTAAAGAAGAAGAAACAGAGCGCTTCAATTCAGCCGGCGTCGCTCAAGAAAGTTAAATTTGAGGTTCGTATTTTCCCTTTTCAAATTATCGTTTAATAGGCTATAACAATAACTATCGTAATATCTGTAATAGAAGAGCATGCTGCATGTTCTTCTAATGCCCCTCCCCTAGGGTGGTCCTCTAATTTCACCTATCTAGGGACCGGCATCTTGTTTCTAAAAATTGCTTTTTTGATCAAAATACTTAAAAAACAGGTTTTTACTAAGATTCCCCAAGTTTTATTGCTTTTACTGTTTACCTATTATAATTCCTCAAGTGCTGTTTATGGAGTTCGTTTAGAATTTATTGAAGATTTTTTTAAGTCAATGTTTTAGTTCGAAGGTTCGGATCAGCAACTTTAAATCGTTCATATAAAATGACAGACTTTAATTGACCAAAGCTTAAAAATGAGATATGATATCTCAGTGAAAGTGAAAAATAATTGTGTATGATTTACGGGCTTTCTATGATTCGTAAATAGATTAAATGTTTTAGGTTGAAAAACTCGTGATTGCAGAAGGACTGTCTGGTGAAGAAAAAGAAGCGGCTCGTACAAGAATGGCTGTATCTCTTGGTGCTGCTCCCGAAAAAAGAAAACATATCAATTATAAAAAATTTAAGGTTTATTTTCACGATTACGTTTCATTTTGCATTTTAGGAAGAATGTGTGCCAATCAAAAAGGAGGAAACTGCAAAGTTGTCGAAAGTTCAAAAAAAGAAACCAAAGAAAACGAAGAAAAGGAAGAATTTTGAAGTTGCGTGAAATATTTTTTTATTTTGTTTGTTGACTCTGTTAGTTGTTTTAAATAAAAAATTTTACGAATTTTAAATGGTCAGCTTTTGTAAAACTCTGCTTCCGAGTTATTGCTAATTTTTCGAATCTGAAGTTTCACGAAGAAAGGTAAATGATTCCGTTTAATAATAAGGATTTTGGATAAAAATTGAGTGCTCTGCAAATACTTTGAATAAAGCAAAGACCGATTAAACAGCACATTTTAGATTAATGCCATTATCTCGACCATCATCTAGATCACGGAGTCGAAGTTTTGCAGGAAGCCCGGTAGTTTGGTAGGAAAAGTTGATACCTAAAGAATTTTACAGCCACGAAATCGTTCGCGCAGTCACTCCAATTCTTCAATCGATCGACGACGGGTAAGGAGTGCAAGTCGATCTGCAAGCAGGTTTGTATAAATATCTAGCTCGAAAGCAATTCGAGTCATCATTAGATCGCCACAACACAGAAGAAGTTCACGACACGCTGGGTCGAGAGGTAGTTATCGACGCGGTGGAGGCTTCACTGGAGCTAATCGCGAAAATCCGAACCCTTCTAGGCAAGCAGACTCTTTAAACTAAAAAAATATCTTTATAGAGTAATTGGCGTTTTCAATCTTTCCAAGTACACATCGGAACGTCAATTAACAGATGCATTTCGAAAGTTTGGCGACATGGAAAAAGTATAGTCATCAACATTAGAAAAATAAAAAGACTTTTAGATCAATTTAATTTATGATCGTCCAACCGGACAATCTCGCGGCTTTGCTTTTATTTCATTTATAAATGTCGAAGATGCCCGTCGTGCAAAAGAAGAAATGGGCGGATCAGAAGTGCGTATAATAGAACTTAAAACATTCTTACACACCTATTCGATTCATAGTTTTTATTTTGTAGCCTGATTAAGTTCAAAAGTTTTCCAAAGCTCGATCATGATGCTGCCAAATCAATCTACCCTAATTAATGAAAAGCCATTCAGGCTTGAAACAAATAGAAGAAAGAAGTTCAAGTATGGTGTAACAACATTCAGCTTGATGGACATAAACTACGTGTGGATTATTCTGTGACTAAACGTGCTCATTCGCCTACACCTGGAGTCTACCTGGGTATGAAAGCGGGTGGATATTCAGGAGAACGAGGTGGTGGCCGACATGGAGGAGGACGATATAACGGTCATAATAGCAGACATCAGTAAGAAAACAATTGTTTCCTTTTCAGCAAATTTCTTTTTAACTCTAGTTTTTCTTCTCGTTTCCGTGGTTCTTCTCCTCCAAATCGACCTGGCCGTTTTCGCCATTCGAGTCGATCACCACGGTTTTTTTTATTGATACGCAACAGTCGGTAACTCTTTTTTTTTCCTCAGTGGTCATCCTGATCGTCATCATCGACGAAGAACGCCGACAAGAGCTCAATATCGTGATCTGTAAGTGAATGCTCACAAATCAAATAGATTATGAGTTTTTAGTTTTGGAAAGATAAGACTTAAGGAATATACAAAATTAAAAATCATTGCGGCACCGTAAAATTCATTGTCGAAGTAAAAGTAGCATAAAGCCTAATCAAACCCAAAATCTTTTCCAAATTTGAAAACATTTTCAGTTCTCGTAGTCGATCCGGCTCCCCAATTCCAAATTACTGATGATGCAAAATAAACTGTTTTTTTTTGTGTGTAATAAACTGTCTATATCTATCTGGAATGGAGATCTCTTTAAATTGAGGGATTGTACTGTCTGATGTCAATCCATTACTGGTTTCAATAAATTCTTGATGCGCTGTCATGCAAAATACAACAAAGGAAATGCTATGCAGAAATATACCTTAATTTATTACAATCTGTACACTAAATTACAAAAAAAAACAGACAAAACATTTATGTCTTTTCTGAATGGATATGATGCCTAGGGATTGATCCTTTTACAACCGTTATCCTATAATTTGGTGGCGATTGAGGTGGGGGCTCGTTCTGAATAGATTCAATTATATATCGTTCAAAATTCAAAAAACCTTTCGAAGTAAATGTTCTCTGTATGCGACTTCTTTCATCCATTTTCGATCATCACGAACTATTCTTTTTTCTTCTTTTTCTGGTTTTTCATGCAGTGATGTCAGTGAAACAAGTGTTGATATTCGGGATAAAGTATTATCCTGTAATATTTATTATATTTAAAAAGTTAATTTCTATGCATTGCTTACATGTAATGGCAAGAGACGAGCGACTTTTCGGATTGGTGGATGTGAATTCTCCATACCAATTCCACGACCATTTCCTCGATCTCCTTTCGTCTGAAGTTTTTTTTTGTTTCCATTCGCATTCATTCTCTCTTTCTTTGCAAACCTCAAGCCGTGAAGTGCTTGTTGGTTCTTCAATCTCGATTGCTATCGTATCTCGTGCTTGTGAATCTGAAATTACATTTATGTAGCTATTTGTTTTCCTTTTCTACCTCCATTAGAGCTTGACGCCGCTTTTCTTTTGCCTTTTGTATGGGAAATGCCTCGTTCTTTTGTTGTTTTCGCCTGCTAAATCCCATTTTTTTAAATGCTTTGCTTTTTTCAAAATTACAAACCTTTTGAGCAAAAATCTTTCTTTTATTTCCATTTGCTTCAGTTTTTTTCGCTGTCCCATTTTTCTGAATATGTTAATATACCGTTTTTATGCGTCATTCTTCAGAACTAACCTTGGCTTTTCGCTTTTTTGTTATCCGTTTTGCTTTCGGCGATTTCTTGTTCTTTGCCTAGATTAGCATTGATAATTTCATTATATAATAATATAAATAAATTGTTCAAGAGAAAACTCACCCGAAGATGTATCCGTCTCAATCGCAAAGCCATTCTTTAATTACACTTCGACATCCTCCTCAAAAGGTTTCGTTCTTCCCAAAGTTTGATGATTAGCGGATCAGGTGTTTCTATGGAGATTAGACCTTTTATTTTTTAACAAGTCGAATTAAACTAATTTCGACGATTCCACAGAATCGAGGCTTGGGAAATGAGTAGAGATTAGTGAAAAGATGAGAGACATTCCGAGGAATGACTACGGTAATTGGAGCAAGATTTGAGATATTGAGAGAAACACTCCTGAGCAAAAATGAAGTGTCAGGCAAAATTCTTAGAAACAAAGAGAGTTATAGCTTTTACTTTTAATTCTAATTTCCAAAAAGATCAATTAAAGCTTGTTGCGAAGAATGGTGTCGGAAATTTCAAAGCAGTGAACCCCCGACAAGTGAACAGTTTGTGGGGAGGCAAAATTTTTTTGATCAGCTTTTTAAGAATGCCAAACCATCAAGCTTTTACCTTTTTAACAGTGTTTCTGTGTTGGTTTGATATGATGTGGATGTCTTGTGGGGAAACTTGTTGCTTGCCTTGCTTTTTTTTACCCTTTTTTACCTTGCCTTGCGATTACTTAGGTCTATAGCTCATTTTTAATATTAAACATTTGCGAGGATTTCAGTGTAATTTTTAGGACTTCTCTTTGACTAAAAAGTTTGTGCCCGAGTTTGTTGGCGGCCATTTGATCTCGCTACACAACTTTGTTCTTGCGCTTAGTTTGAAGAGAAATTGTTGTGCTATCGTTAATTTTGTATAAAATAGTTTTAAGATTCAATAAATTTTCTATTGACAATTGGTCTTAAAAGAAATGAAAATGGAAATGAATGGAAATGGATGATAATTCGATGAATAACTTATGTTTATTGGGCTGCTGGTAGGTATTAAACAATCTTTAATGTCAGTAAATGGTGTAAAGATTTATTGGATTGGTGCATTGAAAACTGCCAGACTTTGAACTAAAATTTATTCAGCGTAAAACCATCAATTCGCTCCAAATAATTTCCATTATTGTTGCCGACTTCTGCCCATTTTACAGGCAATTTGCGGATTCCTCTTTCGTAGTAGGATTTTGGTTTGTGTGTGAGACAAGTGTGAGACTCAAAAATGGAGGACTGGAGATGTCCCAATGTCCCAGTTTGAGCACTTTCTTCAAAGAAACCCATTTTGGTGTCAATAGAAAAGTTGTAATGAATCAAAAATTAGGCTTATAGCCAAATTTCCAAAAAGATACACTTATTAGTTTCGCTTCAAATGCAAGTTTTGTGAAAATTCGTAAATTTGGCATTTCTGGAAAACCAGTTTTTGAATCGTTCTGAAAATTTGGATATAAGCTTCATTTTTGATTCTCTACAACTTATCCATTGACACCAAAATGGGTTTCTTTTGAAGAAAGTGCTCAAACTGTCACATATGACAATAGCCCGCAGTTTTCAATTCACCAACCCTCAAAACATAGAGATCTCAAATTTGAAATGAAACTTTTGATTTCAGGTGGCCAATGGACTCTTCTCCACCTAACACGAAAATATCCGATTTCATATGCAAATCAGCAGCAAATACCCAAAATTGACACGCTAATAGTTATAATATTTCAATTTTTACGCAAAAACAAATCCTTTTTCATAAAAGAAACAGTGTACAGTGGTCAATTTGAAGGCTCATAAAGCTTATCTTTTCAAGAAAAAAAACTGAAACAAAGACCAAAGCTATGCGCTTTCTTTTGATAGAAGCAACTTTTCTGGCGCAAAATGGAATATTCATTCAAATTCCCGCTCATTTTGGGTTTTACTTTGATTTTCTTCTTTTCGTCGACAAGTATCTGTCAAAATTGTCCGGTGCCAAGTAAATATTCGGATATCTTCAATGCCTGTGTCGAAGCTCGAGCGGAGGGTAAATAAAAAAAATTTAGTTTAACATATTGAATGCATTAAAGAGATGGTCAAAGAAATAAAGGACACGTTTAGCGTTACCATATGAAGAATCGGAACGAGCTTGCATTGATAATTTCGGTGAAATCATTTCAATCCACAATGCATTCGAGAATACGGCCGTTGCTGAGCTAGCAAAAAATTGTTTGTTTTTCAAGTCCATGAATTTTTAAAGTAAAATTTTAGACGGACAGAATGGTCGAATCTTTATTGGTTTACAAAAGTACGGTAACGCGTGGAGTTGGAGTGCAAGTGGAGAGCTTGATTATGTGAAATGGGGAGGAGGTAGAAAGATTGAAAAAAAAAGTTTGGAAAATCCCCAAAACATTCATCTTTAGGAGAGCCAAAAAAGGGAAATTGTGCTGTGATGGATTCAGCCGATTCCTCTTGGCACACCGTTGATTGTGAGCAGCCATTTGGTCGTATTTGTGTCCTCGAACCAAAAAGTTCAGTCATTTAGTCAATGGATAATTTGCAAATGTTTAGCTTGCTATGATGATTGGAGCTACTATCCAGTTACAGACTTCTGTTATTATGTAAGTCAAGAAATATTCGTTTAATCGGGAAGTCTTGTCCGCCTTTTTGAAATTTTCGTTTATAAATGATAGCCGATCAGCCGGTTTGCTTTGAGCAAAAGAAAACGATTAACTATTTCATTTAACTCATTTTTAGACGAATTTGAGTTAGCTTTGAAGCAAATTCGAACGGGAATTCTAGAGTTTTTTCCTAAAATCTTTACAATGAACCTAAAATAAAAACGGCTCAGTGAAATGTTATGAAAATTTGTCTATCTACCTACCTTTTCATTCTCTATCTTTTGTCTTTTGACACCAAAATTGATTTCTGTGACATAAGGTGCACAAATCGGAACTTTGAGTTTCATCGTTTTTAACTGCTCGACTTCATACTTTTAAAAACATTAACTAACGCGAGCTTTTCAGAATGTCTTAAAGGGCAATTTGTAAATAAATAATAGGACTTTCTGATAAAATAAACCATAGATCAGTGGTTCATTATTCATTTCAAAAAGTAGACTTTAAAAAAAGAGGACAAGACTTTCCGGACAGCCTGATATCTAAGAAAACTAGAAGCTGTTTCATGATTGAATGTAAGTACAGCATCTCCTTTCCAGTTGGGATTTTATTTTTTGAGCATCCCTCTTATCTGCATTTTCATATATAATTATGGGCCATTCTCATCTCTAGCACGGATTCAACAAAACCTTCAATGACGCTGAAGATTTTTGTCAGACATTTGATGGACATCTTGCATCAATTCACAGCAATGATGAGAATCAGTATATTAAAGGTAAACACATAAAATGATAAAATAGAATTCTAGAATACCACATCTTTAAAAAGCATAGTAGACGAGACATTTCCAGACTTAACATACTCAAAGGAATGCTTGACTTCGGTCAATGGATACAATCAAGGAACAACTGTACTTGGTGGTCAACTAGCTGCAAGTAATGCTTAAAATTGAAAGAAAAACAAATATAGCAGATTAGACAACAAAACGGCATTTTGGGTGGATGAAACGGAAGCTGATTATACGGGAATCACGTGTTATCATGGAGGAGAGCCGAACACTATTTTGGTATGCTTTCACTCAGAAATCCAAAAATGAAGATACCGTAATAATTCTAATAGAAGATGGTCTTCTAATTTTCAACCCCTTCCCCAAAGGGTCTTCTATTAGAGACTGGTCTTCTGTTAGAGACTGGTCTTCTAATAGAGACTGGTCTTCTATTTTTCAACCTCCCTTCAAAAGGGTCTTCTATTGGAGACTGGTCTTCTAATAGAGACTGGTCTTCTATTAGAATTATTACGGTAACTTTTTGTTCAGATGAATTCATTCCCAGCTGATTGTGGTAGATGTCCGGATGGGATATGGTGGATCAGTTTTGCCGATCAGCAAACCGAAATTTATCCAGATTTTGTATGCAAAGTGATGCCTTTTGAGGGGGCAAAACAACGAAAAACTGCACGAAAATTGAAATAAATTTGTTTATGATTGAAATTCGAAATAAAAAATTTTTATTCTCAAAAACGATCAATCACATTGTTTGTTTTTTTTGTTTCTCTTTTTATTTGTAAGCCGATTTACATAGCTCTTTTCGCAGACGGGGAAAGTAAAAAGTGATACATCTGTGCTTCTCCACTATTCAAGTTCAGCAAATACTTTTTTTATTACATTTTTCTAAAAACAATGAGCCCTTTATATGAAAAAAGGAGGTTATAAATGTAAATTAAAAAAAAAAATATAAACTTTATTCAGACAAATATTATGCCGAACCCTCGTGTTTCTATTTTCCCTTTTTCATCTTTATACAGCGTTGGCAATTCATCATGATTTTAAACGTAAGTGAGATGTTAAACGTAAAAATCGTTTCAATTCAGAAGCCATATTTTTGATTGTAATTCTTCTTTTATCTCATCTTATATTCATCAATTTCTATTTGAAAAAAACATTTCCCAAACGTAAAGAACAACTCGAAAAAGCGTTTGGAAATGCTTGGAATGGTTGGAATGATTGCAAAATGATAAAACATTCCTATTTTCATAGGTACGAAACGTTAATCTATGATAAAAACAAACAATAATTGATTGATGATATTTATTTAATAAAAAAAGAAAGATCAGAACATGGACGAGCCTTCTATTCGTCGGTTTTATTGGATGGATTCTCTTTGATAGCGCTGGTGATTTGAATCGCCTTCGCCCACTAATTGCTATTCTTTTCTATCTAATATTTTGCGTGATATTCTCGGCAAATCCTTCTCGAGTAAATCCTTTTTTCTTTGAAAGTAAACTTCTTTACTTAAAATCAGATTAAATGGAGGCCAGTGATTGGTGGTTTTATTCTACAAATCTCTTTCGGACTTCTCGTTCTTCGTTGGCCATCCGGTCAACGTGGTCTACACTTTATTTCGAATAAAGTTCTCTCAAGTCTTTTCTTTTCTTTTCTTTATCATATTTCAGATTGTCGGATTTCTCGACTTCACTACCGCGGGCACTATTTTCAATTTCAATTTCATAGCCTCACCACCAAATATTTGTGGAATGGGTTATGTTTTTTTCTTTACGGTAACTCTCCAGAAGATCTTTAGAAATTCAAAAATTCAGCAATTCAGAGTCTTCAAATCGTTATCTATTTTGCTGTTTTCGTTTCGATTCTCAATTATTTTCGTGTAATCGAATTTGTACTCTCAAGAATTGCGGTTTTTTTTGAGATGAAATGATAAGAAAGATGAAAATTTGTAAAGGTGATGATGCAGTATACAATGGGAACAACAGCTGCCGAAAGTCTCAACGCAGTTGCATGTATTTTTGTTGGCCAGGTCATCCGCAAACAACTTGAGCTCTATCAAAAAAAAATTTAGACCGAAGCTGCAATTTTGATCGGTCCATCATTGGGAACAATGACTGAGAGTGAAATTCATTCTGTGATGACTGCAGGATTTGCATGCATTGCTGGTTCGCTCTTCTCAGCCTACATTTCTTTTGGGGTCAGTTACGGTACAAATAAAGAGAGTTAATTACAATTTGTTTTATCAAATAATTATTTCTTTCTTTAAACTACCATAATCTCCATACTTTTGGCTTTATTTTAATCTAAATTTATCAACTTGATCCGACTCTTTGAGAAATCAGAAAGGATATCGAAAGATTATAAATGACTGGATAAAACAGGTAGTGAACCCGCCGTTATGTGGGTTTTTCGGCTGGTAATACATACGAACAGATTTAAATCCTCATCTTGATATTTCAGGCACAACCAGCTTATCTTTTATCGGCCACTGTAATGAACGCAACTGTTTCTTTGGGAATCTCAAAAATGGTTTATCCGGAAATGCAAAAGTCTCGTCAAAAAAAGGCGAATTCTTTCAAATTCGACACACAGTCAGTTCGAATTTAAATGAAAAGTTTAAAAATTTTGAAAAACAGTAAAAATAAAAGTCTTCCTCAATTAATGTACGAAGCAGCTTGTCATGCGTCAAGACTCGTCATTAACATTGATAAGTTTACCTAGTTCGTTCGCAATTATTTCCTTTTTAAGCGCAAATCTGATTGTTTACATTGCGCTTCTCGCCTTTCTCAATGACGCCGTTGGTTATTTCGGTGATTTGGTTGGGATCACAGATCTTAGTTTTAATGTAAATCTGCTAAAGAATGCTTATTTATCAAATGATTAAGAAGTTACTTGGATATCTTTTTTTCCCTTTCGCTTATTTGATGGGTGTTTCCGATGTCGAAAATCATGAGGTAAGAAAAATGAATGAAATGCTTATTTGCTTTTTTTTCGCATTAGATACAAGTGGAAGAGAGTTTTCGAGTGGCTGAACTAATGGGAATCAAAACTTTTCTAAACGAGTTTATTGCCTATCAAAAACTCAAGGAAATGGTTGTAGCGGGTAGTTTGAAAGGAGTAAATCATTCTTTTTATTAAAATGAATCAATTCTAAACTCAGGCAAGAGCTCAAATGATTGCCACATATGCTTTGTGTGGTTTTTCTAATATTTCGATGATTGGCAGTCAATTGGGGATTCTTGGAAGTTTATGTCCGTGGAGAAAAGGGATCTTTGCCAAGGTGGACTTCAAATGAAACTGTTAATCGAGTGGTAATTAGGTGGTGGTGAGAGCTCTTTTCAGCGGATGTATTTCATGTTTCATCACTGCTTCTATTGCAGGTAAATTTGAGAAAGAGAAGAACCTAAAAGTGAAAAAATTCTCACAAATAAATCACAATTTCCGGTATTCTTGTGGAGAAGCCATTAAAATGGAGTCCGATGGTGGAACATCGTTGCTTTAACGCAAATGAACATCTCACTAATCATTCAATTGCTTTGTTTGTTTAATTTTTAGTTTCAAAGGTTTGGATAAAAGGTGCCTTTCGGTTCTAAAATTGAATCCTGTTTTTAAGTGGACTCTTATACCTTTACATTGTTGACGTTTTCATTAATTTACCTTTAAAATTGCTGCTTCAGATCAGTCTAGAAGCCACTAGTCAGGCCAAACTGGGTTACCATGTACCAGAATGTAGGGTTCATTTTCGGTCAAACTGTTGATAGGTCTAAATCATCTTTATATGATTTCTTTTTTTCTTTATCTTATCACTCATCAGCACAAAAAAAACGGCAACAAGAATCTGTGTTTTTGTTACCCGAGAACAGATACCCACTTGTCACTTGTACAGATAAATATTGAGAAAAGAAATGTTGATCAAGAAATGAGCAAGTTGATCTTAAGCAAACTTATGCTAGTTCAAATAAAAACATAATATCACAATTCAAATCGTATTGTTATTTACAAATGTTGATTCCATAATCGAAAAGCAAATATTTGTTTATCAATGGTGCCGGGTGCGCAACTAACTCCGATCCTCTCATTTACATAAACATTTTCTCAATCATTTTATATCAATCATTCACTGAGAGTCTTTCAATAATTATTTTGTTTCAATTTTTTTAAAAGAATAGCTTTAAGTTTTCCATCTGATCTCTCAGTGAATGGTTGCTTGCATCTTTCTACGTTTTAACAATCAGTTTTCCATAAATTTCCATTTCTTCTGATTTCATTGATCACTTTTATACAACATTATCTTAAACATACTTTAATAAGGCAATAGATCAAAGAGTTTATGTTAAAGGGTTGTCTGGTGGTGGAGAGGGAATCTTGGCATGACCCCCATTCCCTCGCCATCTCCTCTCATCAATCTCGCAAACTCTCACTGCTTGCGCAATGATTTCTTTTAAAAAACTCTCCTTTCTACAAGTTGGAAAGGGTCGTTTATGGACATACAAAGTGCCCAACTGTGACTTCGACTCAATTGGTGAAAGAATAGGCAATGATATGTGATACGAGCCACCAGATGCTCCCGCTATCCCCGCCTTTCTTTTCTCATTCATTCGCAATCCACTCCAAGTTCTCTCTTAACCAAGTTTCCATTTAAATCTTTAGAAATGCTGGCATATATCAGGATTTTTAACGGATTATCTGTCTCCTAGAAGATCGTAGTTGTGATTATGAGATCGTGACTTTAAAGGCCTTCCTTTTATTGTTGCAATGTTTAACAAAACATCATTTACCGCTAATGGATAAATCCCATAAAATATAATTAAATATAGGGAACTGGCAATGCTAAATTCATGTTCATTTTTAATTACTTTCAATTGCTTATGACTCAAACTTCTTATAACTTAAACTCAAAAGAAATAACTTTTATTTTTGTACTCTACTCTTCCTCATTCTCTGATTGAAAACTCTAGCCAAAATGTAAGACTTAGCGATGAATTGTAAAGGATTTTCGAGGTGATTTCAGAGGATTTATTAGCTTTAGAGAGGACTGATGAGAAGAGAGAAGACTCCGCCCCTTTTTTGAGGGAGGAGTCCCAGCTTTCCTCCCTTCATATGTCCAATCCAATTGTGTGACTCATCGCAATCTCTTTTTGATTTATTCACGTTTAAGATTCAACTTTTTCTTTACTTAAAACTCACTAAAGATGAATTTGTCTTTTTTTTGCGTAATTGAGTTATTGCAGAAAACGGCGGACCGCAGTGTGCGCTTCATGATGAGTGATTCGGAACGGGAAGGAGCTTTGGAAAAAGGAGGGAAAAAGGGTGGAAATGGACCATCACACTCTCTACTTTTCCTTTTAATTGCTTTGATTGCCCTTCTAATCGCTGGTGGTGTCATTCTTTTCTTTCTTCTCACCGCTTCATCGATACAAGGCAGATCTGGTTAGAATTAAGCACAATTTATCTCACAATAAACTTTAAACAAAAAGGAATTCGTTATAGGAAATGAAACGATTATTGAAACAGACGGTCTGCGAAAAGAGCCGATTATCACTCGACCAATTGGGAATCGGATCACTGAAGGCAACTCTGAGGAACTACCAGAGTATACCACCAAGAAGTACGACTCATCAGTGAGTTTTCTAATTCTAGACAAATGAATGAAGCAAGAAATCTTTTGTTTGTGTCATTTCCCCTCAAATGAATGCTATTTCTTTCCATAGAATGTCTCTAATTTGACTGTAGACCCGAACTCCATCAACCGATAACGAAGAAATCAGCATTGAAAGCTCAACAGGAGAAGATTGGCAAAGCACATCCTCTTTTTCAAATTCAACAGCTTCCCCTTCTCAACTCACCACTACTGTGTCTTCTCTAAAAAATCCTCTGAAAACTATTCCTCCATTTGTTAGTCAGGTTTGTGCATGTGCCTTCTCATAGTTGAATTTTTGAACAATTCTGTTTTGTTATGAAGGTGACTTTTAGAAGCAAGAGGTCATTGATAAATGTAATTCACTGGAGATCGATGCCAACTCGTGTCCAGTTTCCATCGCAAATGCTGACAACAGGTAACTTTCACCGTAGCTAAAACAAACTAGAGAGTGCTCACAAATGAACATCACTCTTCATCACGACTTGAGAAAGTTCCAAGAGAAGATTGGAAAGGAGTGAAGGGGTGAAGGGGGAAGGATTGTGTTCTCCTTGTGTAAACCATCGACCCTCCGCTTTTTTTTGTGTTTCTTCACCACTAACCGCATTTCTTTCAAAAGCTTTCTCTTAAATTTATAGCTTTAGGCTTGGAAAAATAATGCACGCATTTGAAACTCATCCGTCTTACGAATGGGGAAAAGATTAGAAGTAAAGGAAAGAGGGAACAGGGTTGTAACCCCCGGAATACTCGACGAGATAGAGCACAGAGTTGTCGACAAATTTTGATGTCCTCTGTTCTTTTTCTACAATGATGGGAAAAGGGGGGGGGGTTCGGAATGCATATGCAGAACAGATGTCACTCCTTTCCTCTTTAGACATTTCCCCATATTGAACAACTTTCAACAGGTCGAAGATATTGAAACGATTTCTGCTTACTCGAACAAAAAATCCCATAAAGTAACGTAAATGAAAACAAATTTGAAGATAAGAAACTTGAAATGAAAATAGAGAAGTGCAGACAACAAGAAATTTAGTGACTTCAACGAAACCGACGTTGTTGACGGTGGATTTTCGGGTTTCAAGCCTCTTCACTACAATGTATCATTGTTGGTTCGAAGTATTCAAGATCTTGAACTAAGTGGATCTGTTCGTCTTCATCTCGAAGCTATCAATCCATCAAATAAGGTTGTCTTTCGATTTATTCGTGTTTACATAAAATCTTCATAGATTGTACTTCATATGGGCGATGGCTTAAGATTGGTCAACGATAAATCTCTGAAAGTGATCTCTTGTTCAAAAGGTTGGTTTTAACAAGACTCTTCTCTGGATAAATGAAGGTGCTAATGATTGTGGGGGCACTTGTTTGTGTTAGAGGAAACGATAGATAGATAATGATAGAGGAATCTTTCGTCGATCGACACCTGATCACCCTAAAATCGAGAGACGGGCAATTTGTTGTGTGAGAGATGTGTGACCGATCGGTGCCATCTTTAGAAGGGCATTCGTTTAACGAGAAAGAAAACAAAAGAAAGACCTCCTAGTCGAGGGAACAGCTGTTCTTTTTTGGGTTACTTTTGGTCCTCATTTCGACTCATCGCTAGTTTTGAAAATGTTTACAAAAATCAGATTCTTTAACCCCGTACTTGATGAGTGTAATTAAGCGTGAGATCTAACGATTAGCCTTGTACGATCAAGCAATTCCTCAAGAAGAACTCCAATCAATATTCCCGTTATCATAAAGAACGTTCTAGTAAGCAAATCTACCAAATCGATTTCACTAAACCCACTCTAAATCAATTTATGAAAATGAAAAGAGTGCTCTCCTTTTGGGGTCAAATTTCCCTTTGTACCATTGGATCCAAAGAGATTTTTGATGAAAGCCGCTCGCCTGCTCCCTCATTCTCTTTTTCTCTTTTTCTTTATTCTTCAACGAAAAAGTAGGGAGTAATGGTGCGCAACTGTTCGCACCCCATATCTCTCATTCTTGGCACCTTTGAGCCTTTCGCTCAAAAAGAGCTATTGTAAACGAAAACTTTTACTCTAAAGACAAAAGATCAATCTAAAGATCTGGAATACTCTTAAAGAATAACGAAAATCAATTGAATCGTTTTTCAGATAAAAAGGTTACAAAAAAAACCCGAATGACTCATCAGAAAATCTCTTCTTTGTCTCACACGTTTCGCTTGGTGAAAGCAATTTTTCAGTGGCCATGTATTGGGGAGAAAATGCTGGGATCAGTGATTAGACTGACATTTCCTTTCTCTTTACCCTTTTTATTTTTCACTCAATCCACCAACAGCTGTCCCCATTTAGCAACACCCCTAATCTCGTAAATTGCTCACTAAACAATGAAGAAAAAATGCTGATACTTGAAATCTTTTAAGCTCAAAATCAAAAGCTAATGAAAATGAAGATGAAGATGAAATATGAAAAAGGGAAATTTCAGAAAAAGTGATTTGCGTGACGAATATCCATCATGATCATCAGAAAAGTATTTTGAGAGTCGTGTTGAGCGAAGAGGTTTCATCTGGAGACAATATTCGCATCGACATCGATCAATTCTACTCAAAAAATGGTTACAATATTTGTTTTATTCAATGATTTATCAAATTATAGCAATCTCATTGTTTATGCAACGTCCAGGATACACAAAGGCTCCAGAAATGCTCGGTACACAGATGCAAATTGGCGGTGCTCGACGCATTTTCCCCTCTATCGATCTTCCAACATTTAAGGTTTATAAAGCTAGGAATTTGGTGTTGATTTTAAATATAGAGTCCTTTCATCCTTTGTGTCAGCCATCCATCAACTTTCAACGTTCGCTCAAATATGAAAAGGCAAATCAACGATGGAGACAGCATGGTTTGTTGAACTCTTGAATAATACCTTTTCTAAAATGTATCTATTTAAGAAAAAATTCGTAGTCAAACCGTTAGTTTAAATTCAGTTAACCAAATTTCGATTTTATTCAATGAGAAATGAAAAGACGCATTGAATGATACTAAAGTCTGGCTGATCAGAGAAAAACTAACGGTTTAACTACGATAGTTTTCCTCAAATAGATGCATTTTAGAAAACGTAAGAGGAACAAACTCTAGTTGAACTATTGGACTAATTTATTCAATTTACTCCCTACAAATTAATTGATTCATCTTCTACAAATGGGACGTTATAAATTCTACAAAAAAAATACTGAAATTCAAGCATATCAGCTGAATATTTTAGGACCGTTATGTTCGTCATTATCATGTATGTTTACACTATCAGTTAATCGAATTTGATTTTCTCATTCACTCCTTCATTCTCACAATCAGTTTCAGTATTAAAGTGCAAACTTTTAGAAAACGTGTTTCGTCCAAACCCTGCCACTTGCCACTCATCAAATCGCATTCGTCGTTTCTCAAAATGTAAATCAATAATCAAAATCAATCAATCAATAATTCCAGGCTTATTCAAAAGTCTTCAACTCGAGCAGCTTTGATTTCCCTCAAACTCCCGATCTTGAAGTCCTTTTCTCACAGGCTGAGAAAAATATCAACAAACTTCTTGAAGCAAGATGGCTTCCGGATGAAGTGGCCAGAGTATGTGATTGGAAAAATATGATTTACACTTCTTATTTAAAGATGATCTCAACAATGCGAGAATGGACGGGTGTTGGATATCCCCTTGATCGACTTACAATTGCATCAGCTCCTCTCATCGGTCCACATGGTACAGCCACCGGTGGTCTTGGGCTTATTATCCTTCCCGCAACGTTCGTTTTAAGAATCTCTTTTTAAGAATTGTAATATATACTTCAGAAAAGTAACTCATAAAAATTTTAGTGCAATCGAACACGAGAAACATCTTCGATCGCACACACATTTATTGAGAGCAGTGATCGGTCAATGGATTGGTGGCATTGTCGGACCTCGAAGCAATCATGATCTCTGCCTTCAGGTGACATTTTTTTTTGTAAAAGATTTTTTTTCTTTCACGTACGGAAAGGGAAGGATGGGCGAATAAAAAGAAAATGGGAAAGGGGGAAAGCGTCACCTGTCGATTCGAGACACTCAACAATAATATGCCAATGCATATCATATTTATCTCTTCTCTAAAGAGAGAATAGAAATGAATCTCTCTTTTTGAGATTAGAGAATCCTGTCGGGGAATTCATTTACACCCAATTCCCTATGCCCCCTTCACCCTTTATAATCCGCTTGTTTATGAGAGGAGTCACAAGCATTTCCGCGCATCTCTCAACAAATCTAGGGACTTAAATCAATGACTTGCCAAACTTTATGTATTTACAGGCTTTCTTAGAATAAAAAAGAACAAAATGGGTAATGAGAGAGCATCTGTTGAGAGAGAAAAGAGAACATTAAGACTTTCATTTTGCCGCCATCTTTTATGGCATTACAATGTGTGTTGGAGAAGTCTGCTTGTAGAACTGTTTCACGCAGTTTTAACAATTTCATTGATTGAAAAAGAGTGAATAAATTGTAGGAAGCATTGATCGGATATTTGGAAGCCAAAGTGCATGAAGATATCAAGATTACTCCGATTGTCAATCGAACTCGAGTGAAGAGTCTTGCTGAAATTGAAAAGGTACTCAATGCCAAAGAAACTTAATAAATTTCAAATTAGAGCAAAAATCTTGAAGCACGAAACACTCGAGCATTGACTCCAGAACAGGTAAGAGATAGAAGCCACTTTTGAAAGTAAGAATTTTTATTTAGACAATGCATATTTGTGGAGAGAAGGGAATGACTCTTTTCTACAGTCTTGATGAGACATTTGGGCCAAATACGGTACTTGGAATGCTTAAGGTAAGAAAAAAAAAGAAATATAAATGTTGCATAAATACTCAATTACTTTATTCCTTTAAACATATACCAAATTGCACAAGTTAAACTCTTTAGCTCGTTTTCGCTCAACACAGCTTTGATTATGCCAGTGCCAATGACTATGCGAAAGCTCTTGAGGCTCAAACTCGATCGAGAACTGCTGGTGGAGTTATTTATTTGTTTAAAAGCACAAATCACAACACAAATACATGGAACATCAATAGTTTTAGGTGAATTGTTGAAGAAATGGTTTCGATCTTCATCGCCACCAATTGTTCTTCTAAAAGTTCAATCAAACGAGGTAAATAGCTAAGAATGAAGAATGAAATCAATGGTTAACAATGAAATCAATGGTTAACAATTAAATCTTTTCCTTAACAGATGCAATTGCAAAGAAATAAAGGAAAAATTTCAGATTATGGTCACTCAACCCTCATCGGATTCCTGGGAAATGCCAATTGAAATCGCTGGTTCAACTGGTGTTCAACTAATCGATATCAAAGGAAATGAGGTTTGTATAAAAATTGATAAATCAATGCAGATTTTTCTAGTCAATTCCCTATCAATCAACAGATTATGTGATTGCTGATCCGAAAAGAAGAAGTGTCGCCTTTGTTGGATATGATGTTCGTTTGTGAAAAAAATATTGAAATCAAAAACATTCAGTTGGAAACATATTTGCGCTTGATGAGATGTTGGGATGATTCTCGGTGTCCGGCAAATAAAGATGATCTCAAGGGACTTTTCAAAGATTTTGGAGCACTTCTCCTCAACAAATATATTATGGTTTATAAACAAAACAGAAATATATACATTGACGTATCATTTCAGGACTCAAATAAAGCAAATGGAGGTCGATGGAAGGAACTTTTCCAATTTCTCGTCACTCAGAAACTTCTTCAAGGCGATCAAGCTTGCTGTGCCACCTATGCAGTCAATGTTTGTTACTTTATCAAAGTTTATAACAATTTAAAGGCTTTCAAAAAACATTCTATCAAATCCATTATTACATTTCAGCCTCAAGCACCCACAGATGGACGATGCTTCTTTGTGGTGAAAGATGTGTGCTCGAAAGTGGATCTTATCGAAAAAGTTGCTCATCAATAGATTCATTCAATTCAATTCAATTCAATTCATTCAATTCATTCAATAGATTCATTCATTTCTTTCTCATTTCCTCTCACCATTATTCAGGACTTTTGATCTCAAATGACTTCTTTTTTTTCTTTTCAAACACCAAATCAATTCCTACAAAAAACGCGCCTCGCCTAATTGTCTAGTCGGCGCTTTCCTCGATCAAGAAAATGTGAAATTGATCTATTATATTGATCATTCGACTTTGTGGGTATCTTTCATTCAGAAGTGTTCATTTATTTCTTTTTTCAATTTTTTTATAATCATCTTTATTCTCTTTGAATAAGTCTACATTGCCTTTTTTCAAGCGGCCTTTTTTCTCTTTCCGTATCGCTCAATCACCGTGTGAAATGACTACAACTTTTTCGATGAGTCATTTGTGCTAATTACCTATTTATTTTGTTAAAACTAATAAATGATAAAAATTTTTAAAAATGAAATTCTACTAGACAGCCTATCACGAAATACACTCTAGAAGAATCATTTTTTGAAAATAATGCCCGTGAAATTCGTCACAAAACACCTCATTGGTGGGTTTTTATGGATAAAATTCAGGGAGCCAGAAATGAGATAAAGAAATTTGGAATTGTGTGCAAAAAAAAGGGAAAGGAGAATTGAAAGAAAAGATTGAGAACTAATCGCCACATCGAAAGACCAAATTTTGCCCTTAGAACAGAAGCTCTTTTACTCTTGTTTTTGCATAAATCTCTACAGTTTGATCAATATTATTGACTTTTTTTTCTTTCAGTATGCGAATCGCGTACCTCATTGGGTTATTGCTGATCGTTGTGGTGACGGGAAGAAGGAGGCGAAGTTTTCGTGATCCCGCTACCTTCAATGCAAATCAAAATTATCATATGGTCTGGTTTTAAAGGAATTATCAGAATATCATTAAAGAAATCAGTTTAGATCGCTCTTTAATTCTGAAAATATTAATTTATGATAACATTTCAGAGTTCCGCAAAATTAGATACAAATTAAAAGACTGAATTTCAGAATGCAGTCATTCCAAATGCCACCGAATTCTTTTTCGAGGTTCCCCTTGATCATTTTGCTTATGCGTCTACGAACGTTTTCAAAATCAGGTAATAGCTAAACCAAAATGAAACCTCATTATTTTAGATGTGAACTGAATTTGGATCATTACGTAGATGGAGGACCAATCTTTTTCTATCCAGGCAATGAAGGGACAATTACTGGTTTCATGACAGCCACCGGAATTATGTGGGATCTTGCCGCAAACTTCAACGCGGCCGTTCTTTTTGCTGAACATCGGTTGGGTTTTTTTGTACTTTACCCCCTGACAAAATCTTTTTAGATATTATGGAGCTTCAAGTCCATTTGGAAAAGAAAATGATTACAAGGTAAGAAAAGTTGAAATTTAGATTTGAATCATGTAAAATAAACAGAATGTCGCCACAATGGCCTATCTCACTTCTGAACAAGCGCTTGCCGATTATGCCCAACTGTTGATTTCTCTTAAAGGCGGGAATACAGCCGTAAGATAAAACATATAACTTTAAAAAGACAAGTTCTTTAGTATGCAGGCAAAACATTCAATAGCACGAATAAAGTTGTGCTTTTTGGTGGATCTTATGGAGGAATGCTCGCCGCATGGTTCAGAATGAAATATCCTCACCTTGCTGTCGGGTTTGTTATATAAAAATGAAAAGAGAAAACTTCTCATAACTTCTTCCATTTCAGAGCGTGGGCCTCATCAGCGCCACTCAAATATTTCAATGAAGGAGGTGTCGATTGGGGAGCTTTTGATGATGTGACAACGCGCACTTTTATCGATTCTGGAGCCAGCTATAACAATGTGAAAAATGGATGGACTGCTTTGAGGAATCTTGCGAAGACAAGTATCAATAATGGAATTGATTTTAATCGTTTAAACTTTTAGCTGATGGACAAAAATTTCTCAATGATCTTTTTAATGTGACTGACAATTCGACAATCAAGGATTCGGCAAGCGGTTTGATTGTTGATTTTCAAAAGAGAGAATATGGTCATTGTTTGAGGTGAGAATTTGGTGGGATATGTGAGAGAAGCAATTGAATATATGGCCATGGTCGATTATCCATATGAAACCAATTTCCTCGAACCAATGCCTGGATTTCCCGTTAAAGTATGATCACTTATTTGTAAGTGAAAATCAACTTTCCAGGTCGCTTCACAATTTCTAAAAGATGAAGGAAATTGGACAGACAAAGAGCTTGCAATTATGCTTTTCAAAGTAACAAACATAAAGATTAAATATTGAAATCAAAAACAGGCCTCAAATATATACTACAATTATTACAATGACAGCTCTTATCAAGCTTGTCTTGATCCTGAGAAATGTGGAGATCCGGGCACATCAGAACTCGGAGATCCGCTTGGATGGCCTTGGCAGGTTTGGACTCTTTGAGCTCTTCAATTCATAAATACATCATACTTTATTTATAGGAATGCACAGAGATTGTTATTGAACAATGTGCTCGAAATAGCTCATTTTTCTTTGATGAATGTACTGATCGGCCATTGGAGCTTTTGTATCAAATGTGCAATGATACATTTGGAAAGTTTGTTTAAAGAAAAGTTATTTAAATCTTTATTTTATTGAGGCTTGGATGGACGAGACCATTGATGCGATACAATGCAGTTAGAGATCTCTATGGACTTGATATCTCCGCTTACAGTAACATTATTCTCACGTATGTTGAATAAATAAAGAAAAGATATATTGACGTTTTTTTTCAGTCAAGGTCATCTTGACCCGTGGAGTGTTGGTGGATACAAAGCGGGCGATCCGGGAGTCAATGGACAAAATGGCATCTATGTGGTCGAAATTCCAGGTTTTTTTTGAGAAAGGAAACTCAAGACACATAAAATTCGTCAGGCTCAGCACATCATTTGGATCTTCGTACACCAAACACATGTGATGGAAATCCAACTCATAACCTTCGATTCCAAGTAGAACAAATCAATAATTGTTTAATATTCAAGAATTTCTATGTAGGCAGTAAATATCATCAAATGTTGGCTAACAGAAGGTTGTGTGAATCCGGTGTTGAAAGATTTACCACCATTGAATGATGTCACGACAGTCAAATGTGAAGATATGATCAACAAATATCCATGGGGACAATCGGATAATGGGCCAAGCGGTGATAAGGTATATGTCTACTAGCTGTTAATGAAATAATGAACTTTATTAAAAATGATTCAGGGCTCATCGACGGCGAAATTTATGTTGGCGATGGCTTTCATGGCTTTCGTTCAAAGATTTCTTATTACTAAAAGCTAGTAGTAGTTAGTTTTTTGTTTCTAGTTTTCAATAAATATCGTTAATCGTTGATCACGTCATTAAACAAATAAAATGGTCGTATTTGTATTAAATATCTGAAGTTTACCAAAAGAAACAAAGCTTCAAATCAGCTCTCGCTAGGAAAAAGCACAGAAAAAGTATAAGTGAAAAAAAAACCCGTCATTATAATCAATGAAATAAAAAAATTCTAAAGTTTAAATATCATAAAGCACATTCCAAAATACACATTTATCTCAAAAATTTTTATGCTGCATCGGAGACTTCATTCGTGATGTTTTTTCTTTCATTCTAAAACTAAAAATTTTTTTCAACTTATAGCTTAATTATTTTCAGTTTATGATGCATACCTGTATTACTAGCATAGAAATTAAGACTAGCTTCGAGGGTTTCCATAGCTTCATCCCTGAAAATTACATTAAATTAACCAAAAACATTGCGGGAGACATACCAATCATCGATATGATTTGCGCTTGACGCTTGAGCCTCAATTGACTTCGCTAAAAGAAATCAAGTAAGTAAGAAAAGTAACCAAATATCTAAGCTTTGAGTTTAGCTACCTGTTGGCTGATTTCCTGTTGATAAAAAATTGGTTGAAATTGGCGGAAACTCTGAAATTTTTGAATGCTACACTGTGAAAGTTTTGTTAGAAAAGCTGACCATGCCGTTGGGTGATCGAAGGATGATGAGATGAAGAATTGTGGGTAATTCCTGATGGTGAGACTGGGAAACGAGGTGCACAATTGCTTCCATTACTTCTATAGTTTGCTGAAAACAATTCTTGAATGTTGGTATTCACAATTGGTATCAATTGCTTACATATTCCCTAAAACCAACTTTCATAATAATGTCCAGAGCTTGAAGGTGGCTGAAACGAAGGCGGATGTGTATTTGGTCGAGAAGGCCAATCGCCTCGATCTGAATAATTAAGTTTATTTAGTTTTTTTAAAAGTTAGACTTTTACTCACCGTAGCTATTAGTGGATTGCTCAAGCCGCATTTCACGGCGGACTCTCACTGCTGCATTGCCCTCGTCACGGTTCATTTGTGAGTCGGCATAAGAATCAAATCTGACATTATTCAGGTTATACTAAGATATTAAGATAGGTTATACTAAATACTAAGATTGAGACTAGTATCGCGCACCGATAATCATTCCGATTTTGAGGTCTCGTATTCGGTTGGTTATTCCAAGCATCACCACGATTCGCTCTACCTGCACATGTAAACAAATTATGTGAGAACAAGAGTATCAAGAGGAAAAACGAGCAAAAAAAAAAACTCTACCATATGAAATTGTTTCTGGCTCGATGTTGTTAGCTATTTGTGGTAAATCGGCTGCTCTCGGTGCATTATCCCACGACGATGAACCACGAAAAGCTGGAGGCTGCAGATGAGATCCTCTTTGCATTGGTGGTGGACGAAGCACTGAAATTAAAATAAGACTTTTCGATCAGGTTTTTAAAAACAACCTATTCTACACTCATTTAAATATACTATAATATATCAAATGACACTTTAATTGACTAATATGCAATATCTCACCTGCATCATTCGGTTGCCCCATATCCATATGTAGGCGTCTATCCATTGGATATCTTTCATGATAAAAATCACATTCTCCAGAAAAACCAGGATGTGAACTCGAGTCAATATTACTAAAT